AATATCTTTATTATTTTAATCATAATAATTTAATAACTATTATAATAATTTATTAATTCTGAATTAATTTTTGTTTACAGTTAAAAGATGGATGAAGGCAGGCCGAGGCCGAGAAACAAATAGAACTTTTTGGAACCGAGGCGGCGGCAGAAGAGGCAGTAGAGGAGGTGGAGGTGGTCATGTTCATTTTCATGTATACAATGTATAAAAGTAAGTCCAAACACATTATTTTAGATTTAAATTTTTTTTTATTTAATAATTATAAATGAAAATTTTTTAGGGTCATATCGAAACAATGCAGGGTTCGCGCTCGTGGACGCAAAAGGAGGTTTTTGAAGATTATTAATTTTATTAAGATTAACAGACGTTCTTTATGAAGATGCCATGATTCTTAATTTTGAGTTTTACAGTTTTGAGTATACAGTTTTTTTGTAAATCTATATAGAAAAGATTTTTATTTTTTGCGGTTATATAGATGAATATGTATGCAACATTTGTTAATTGCTAAATAAATATGTATGCTACGTTTCTTAATTACTAAACATTTAATAAAATTGTTATTCCTCTATATTGTTATTCCTCACTACAAATATTTTTATAAGAAATTACGTTATCTGAATTCAAGCAAACAAGATATATATCAAGCACTACATATCAAGAACTATTGGAAATTAAACTATATTTATTATTATGCTATCGTTTATACTAGTTACTAATTGGAGGAAAATATGTAAACTTGTGTAATATGTAATGCTTTACAATAATTCAACAAAGTACGCATATGTGTGAAATAATTAATTGAATTAAAAATTTTTTACATTCTGCATCTAGTTCTGAAACTATTTGTAGCAACTTAAAGTTTTGTTCCACTCAAACATGAAGTTTATAAATAAAAAATTATCCGGAGATTATATCTTGTCTTATTCAATCCAATTACATTTTTCATTTCCATGTTTCACTTTAATGGCGTGAATGGGATTTCTCGTGTGCATCACATTCCTATAACAAATTTAAAGCATGAAAGATAAAGATAAGAAGAGTAATAAAATAGTAATAAAAGAATTATAAAAATATGTACCTCAGAAGTAGACTTTGGTACTAGTCCTAAACTATCATCAAGCATACCAGACTGTGTTGATCAACAGGATGTGCCGATGTTTTTTTACATTTATCAAATGTCTTGCTGTAATACAAAAATACAAATATTTAATTCAAATTAATTGCTAACAACAATGAATGAAAAGGATTATAATTGTTAATACCTAATCGATTGCTATCATTCGACGTGTAACCGCACAGACATTGCAGTTTTCTTTCCAGCGGGATGTTTATTAAAGGAGATGGCACGATCAGACTGGTCTTCGGCCTTTCATTATAGATTTGTTGTTGATGCTCTTGAAACGCACGCCAACATGTGATGTAACGACATTGTTGACAACGCTGTTCGCCTCTGTTAATTAAAATCGAAATAATTTATATGCCTACTATCTGCAAGATAGATAATTGATTTTAGGATTATATGCTTACGGATAATGCTCTTCTTTGTCAATATCCTCTTTGCATTCATGACATGACAAATAACTGATGAAAGTATTCACTGTGATCGACCCAGTATTCCATTTCTGTATCTTTTCATCTGGTGGTAATTCGGGAAGTGGAGTGTCTACAGTGAATCGTACAATCTCTGGTCGCTCTTTTGAAACCATTATCCCGTTGTTGCTAGCAGAATATGGTATTGCTTCTGTAAACAAAATTGTAATTTATCACAGAAAAGCAAATTATAATTTGAATAAATAGATAATAAATACTTTGTATTTTTTCTAAAACTTTATTTGAAATTACATTACATACCACAAGTTACAAGTGTCGTTGTCATTAACAGATATTTTCTCTCAATTCTCTCTTTGGATCCTACGGAAATCATACGTTTCAATAAAT